CTGTTAATCGAGCATGCTGATCACCTCCTCCCGTTGTGGGGTTTGTGATTTGTTTAATAAAGTAGTTATTTTCTTTTGATTACCAACTCTTGTGTTCTATAGCTAGTGTTTTTATTTATAAAATTATTCTACTCTGGCATATCTACAAAAATAGGTGAAATTATATTGATTAAAAATCATTGGAAAAGTACAACTTGGTGATGAAATGTTCAACAATTTACTGTTTCAAAAATGTGATACTCCATTTTTAATTGATACGACTAATAGATCAACATATAAATTATTAGATAATGGTATTATATTTTAGAGAAAATTACACTTTGTTTACCAAACTATCTGCGTTTTTACATTTTGCCCACTCAACTTTTTCCAGTGACACTTTACCCCTTGAATTTCAAATATTCTTGCACTTAACGACTTCCGGCCATCGGAGATGCAAAATCAAGGAAAAATCGTCATTTACACCTTAGGGACACCTCAAATTAGTCTTTCACGAATACACTTTGTCTACCGAACTATTCGCATTTTTACACTTTGTCCTTGATTTTGCATCTCCGGTGGCCGGAAGTCGTTAAGTGCAAGAATATTTGAAGTTCAAGGGATAAAGTGTCACCGAAAAAAGTTGAGTGGACAAAGTGTAAAAACGCGGATAGTTCGGTAAGCAAAGTGTAATTTTCCCTATATTTTAAACATAGAATATTATGAGTTATACTTATGCATATAATATTAAGATATAGGTTAGATAATGGTATTATGTTTTAAAATTTGATCCTTGGTTAAATACATAACGATTATATTACATATGAATTGTTATATTGATTGCATAAAATGTAATAAATAATATAATTTGTGTAATTTTGAGAGACCGTGACCAATTAATTGGCTTAAAAGTATTAGATTTATTATAACAATTGCATATGCGATTTTAAGAAATTTTAATATGACATTAAAAATAAATTAATTTATTTAAAAAACAATCGCTTAATCAGATAAAAAATAATAATGCTTTTTGATTAAACAACTTGAACAAAAAGTTTTTACAATATAATTGTTTTGGTTTATGTAACATTTCATTTAGTGTAAAATACAATTATTAATTTTAATAATAACTACTAATGATACAATAAAAAATATAATTATTACTCAATTAATATAAAATGTAACGATTTTTGTCTTATTTAACCAAAAAAAAAGTGTAAGGAAATACTTTATCATTAATGGGATAGTGTGGATTAATGTAATAATAACAATAATAATAATAATAATAATAATAACAACAACAACAACAACAACAACAACAACAACAACAACAACAACAACAACAACAACAACAACAACAATAATAATAATAATAATAATAATAATGGATTGTCACGGTTATTGGATGGAAAATGCCACATAGGTAAAATTTATTAAGTATTATTTATTAAGTTTATTTGAACTCCTTGTATAGATGATTTTGGTATATGGCTCGTTACGAAATAAATCAAAAATCGTAGAAAAATTGTTATTAATGTTGAGATATCAATTCTATAATAGTATTGTAGTAGTTATATCAATAAGATTTTCGCAATTGATTTTTAATTTTATTTTGTACTTATATTTTGCAATGTTCTCAAGCATATTTCGGTCTACAGATGGCGGTCGTACCCAACAAAATAGGAGAACACCTGATTTGTCAGTAAGGATAAAGATTGTCTTGTTATTAAAGATAAATAGTTAAAAAAAAATATTTAAAAACTTAGGTTTATAGTTTTTGTAATACTGAAACACTTTAGTTATTGATAAATTAAAAGATTATAAACTAATCATCTTGATTAAATGATATTTTGAAGATACGGTAAAAAATATTTTGGTGTATGGTTGGTTACCCAATATGAAATCATCTTGATTTGCTATTAATGTTGATAGATAAGATTCAATTGTAACATTGAAATAAATATCATAACAAAATTTTCATAAGTGATTTTTAATTTTTATATTGTAATTATATTTGCAACCTTATCGTAAATATTCAAATAATACTTTCTAAAAATAAAATATATTTAATAGACTTTTTGAAAACATGTTGTACAGTTGATTACGAAAAGAATAAAAAATTACAGTGCTTCGTAATTAATATGAAAAATCGAATTTTTATTGCAATAATTATCACAAAATAATTTTCAAAATTGATACCACTTTATTCATATAAAAGTCATAACATTAACCGGATTGCACGAATTACAATAAGTAGGTATAATTTAATTTTTATTTTTTTATAATATTAAAGTAATATTTACTATATTTCCTTTAATAGTAAGTCAACATATTTAATTTTCATCGACTTCTTTCAATATATATAGATATAGATTTGTAGATTTGCATGGAACTTTATACAATAGACAAAAAAAAAATGTTAGAATCACTAAATTACAACGATAATTAAAAAAACAAATAATAATAACGAAAGCTTTGAGTGTTGATATGGAAATTTACGAAATAGAATATTGGTTGCAATTTTCGGTAGGAATATTCGCATTTTTTCCTTCGATTTTTTATTTTTTATTAATATATATAGATAGATTTTGAAGTGAAAATAAGTCTGAAGATATATGCATTCTGGCCGGGCCACGGCCCGGTAATGAATTTTTGACTTCCCAACTTTCAAAATCATGATTATGTCACCGTCAAAAATCAATTATCAAAAATCTTTAAACCAAGACTTGAGAAAAAGGTATCACACATTATTCTATGGAAACTTTTTTTAATTATAAAAAATTCAGATATAATAATGTAAAAACGAATGGCTTTTATAAATAATATAATAATAATTTCACAACTTTTTTTAATTATAAAAAATGCAGATATAATGATGCAAAAACAAATGGCTTTTATAAATAACTAGTATTCGATCTTGTGTATTTAGACATACATAAAAAAGTACTAAATTATTTGTATGCATATAATATTAAAATTATAAGTTAGATAATGGTATTATATTTTAAACATAGAGTATTATAAGTTATATTTATGCATATAATATTAAGATATAGGTTAGATAATGGTATCATGTTTTTAAAATTTGATCATTGGTTAAAATAAATAGTACATAACGATTAGATTACATATGAATTGTTATATTGATTGCATAAAATGTAATATTTGAGGGACCGTGACCAATTAATAATCTGAAAAGTATTAGATTTATTATACCATTTGCTCATGCCATTTTAAGGAATTTTAATATGACATTAAACCAAATTAATTTATTTAAAAAGCAATCACTTAATCAGATAAAAAAATAATATTGATTTTAGAATAAATAACTTGAACAAAAAGTTTTACAATATAATTTTTTTATGTTTATGTAACTTTCACATATCATTTAGTGTAAAATATAATTATAAATTTTAATAATAACTATTATATGATACAAATAAAAAAATATAATTATTACTCAATTAATATAAATGTAACTATTTTTGTCTTACTTAACGAAAAAAAGTGTAAAAAAATATTTTATCACTAATGGGATAGTGTGGATTAATGTAATAATAGTAATAACAATAATAATACTNTGGTATAACGGTTATTGGAGAAAAAATATTACAAGCTATATTTATAAATGTAATATTAATTTACAAATTAGATACTGGACATATTACATTTTAAAATTTTAATCATTACTAAAAATAAAAGAGTAAAAATATAAATTATTTAAGTATATATGAATCAATATATTGATTGAAAAAAAATTGACGATAATGTAATTTTTAATTTTAAGGGATTATAACTAATTAATTTAGCTGAAAATTTATTATTGAGGGATCATAACCAATTTAAATTTCGAGGACAATCTTGTATTTTACCGTCGGTTACTCTCTCCCAGCGCACGTCTTCGTTCGAACCGCATTGGGTCAGCCGCGGCCGCCACCTCGCTTTCCGAGCAATCGAAACCGATGGCGTCTGGGAGAGCGCTGCGTCAGGCGAGATCGTCGGTCGGGACTAAGGCGGTGCCGCCTCCGTCAGCGGAGACCGCCGAGTGACTGAGATAGTGTTGTGCGATTGTGGAGGGGGAGAGGGGGGGATAATTGGGTTTTGTTTTGAAAATTTGAATGTATTAAGGGACATAGATGCAATTTTAGTAAATTTTGATTAAATTACAATTTAGTCCATGGGGTCAAATATGTAATTTATAAAAAATATAATAAATATTATTTTATATATTTTTTATCATATATATTAAATAATAAATAAAAAATTAATCAAAAATAAAATAGAATATAAAAATATTATAAAATTATATAAAATACTAAATAAAAATTTTTAATTAATAAAAAATATATTATAAATAATAAATTATTTTAATTAGTTGGATAAATTCAGTTAAATCAATTCAATTTTCGTTGGGATTTGTGCATTATAAGAATATACAATAGTGTTAACAAGATGCATATTACTGACCAACTAAATAAAATTTTATAAAATACTTAATATTATTTTCGATTGTTTAAGTTAATTCAATTGATCAACTAATAAAAAAAATCTTTCGCATCACATAATGCATAATATTACTAAACAAGATGCACATTATGAAGTATCAGACAACACAACAATGTTGGGAAAAATTCAAAATTAGTCCCACAGGTATAGGGGGTGACAATTTTGGTCCCGACGGAATGCAGAAAATATGAATAGTCCCACAGCTTTTAAAAAATGATCAAAAGTAGGACTTTTTCGCCAGATTTACTATATCCGGCTCGGAACGCCACGTGGCGCATACGTGGCTTATTTTTTTACTTAAATAGGGAAAAATTCAAAACTAGTCCCACAAGTATAGGGGGGTGGCATTTTTGGTCCCGATAGAATGCAGAAAATTCAAAACTAGTCCCACAACTTGTAA